CTTGGAAGCCTCGTGCTGAGACTCAGTCTTAGACATCAGAATCTGCTCCCCGCCCCCACAAAAATTGCCCTTTTTAGGGAGTGGAGAGCTTTATACAAGTAGGTTGCCAAGATTGCTCTAATGGTATTTTTCGGAGAGGACTGATTTTTCCACAGATAAAAAGGCTTCTTGTCAAACAAACCCACTAACTCAAACCAAAGAGCAAAGACCGAATAAAGATCTGGAATCTTCCACCAACCAACCAACCAACCAACCAACCTGTCAACCAATCAACCAAAAATGCTTATCAAGATAAAGCCAGTTGTTTTCAACTAAGGGTTAATAAGCAAGTGAAATACATCAGTGCATTTTCAAGGAAAACTGCAGACAAGGAAAATACCAGGGCTTTCAAGTACCTTCCAAGCAATTTGACATGTTTTATTCACATCATGAAGACAGTTTTACCCTGGAGTAGTTCCTATTCAGAAAACACTCAAGGAACCTGCTCTTTTGGGCTGCTTCTTGACATGGAAAAATTTTAATGTCACTGCTTTACCTTTAGTTTGGGATTTTGCCTCTTCAGGCAAATTTCTGCTCTATTACTTGTGCCTGGCTGTTTGATTTTGCTCACTGCAGCTGTCCAAACCCCTCCCTCACCCCCTCACTTCCATCTACATCTTCTCCACAAAACGCATTTACTATAGTCCATTTTCTAATGTTTGTCATTCTTATTGGGCTTTTTCATTTTACTAAATCACTAAGTAAATGTTTGTTGTGAGTAAGGTATTGTGCCTGTTATGGCAGGAGCAACAGAGTGACATCAAAACTTTCCTCAAGGAGCTTGCTGTCTAATTGAAGATTTTCAAGCCAGGAAGTGCTTCTCGTATTTGACCTTTCCTTTCGATTCCTGTTACTCTCTTTGGCTAGGCCCTGTTGACATCACAATAGTTTCCTAACAGCCCCCCCAACTTACCATTACCCCCAATCGAATCAATCCCAGTTCATCTCTTTAAAAAAAAAAAAAAAAGTTGACTTGATGGTTGCCAGAGGAGGGGGCAAAGGGGAGGGAGAATGGGTAAATGGGCGAAGGGGAGTGGGAGGTATGGGCTTCCAGTTATGGAATGGATAAGTCACAGGGAATGAAGGTACAGGATAGGGAATGTAGTCGGTGGTATTGTAATAGCGTCGAATGGTGACAGACGGTCGATACACATGTGGTGAGCCCAGCACTGTGTTGTCCACCTCAAACTAATGTAACATTGCGTGTCAGCTAATACTCAATATATATATATATATTTAAAAAACTCATTCTCTCACCATCCAACCCTCCAAAAAAATATTTTTCAAAGATGCCATATTGCCTAATCAACAAGGCAATTTCGTTAGCTTGGTTCAAAATTTCCCTCCCTTTTACCTTTAAAATCTAAGTCCTGTCTATCTTTAAGAATCAAGTCCCATTTCATCCAGGCATCTTTTCTCCATTTCCCCACGGAGAGCGATCTTTCCCTTCAGTTTGTGTAGATTATATCCCACATCACTCATTGGTATGCTGCCTTGACTCGTTTGTTTTATATGCATGTGGCTTTTCCCCATTCAGATTGCAAATTTATTGAGAGCAGGGCCTGAGCATAATGCATTACACACAAAAGATGCTTAATACAAGTTTGTTGATGAAGACGGGGATGATTTTCCTGATTTCAGGGTGTGTATAGGATGGCTTATGAGGGTGAGTGGCAAAGGAAAGATTCTGGAGGGAGGGGAATGAATTAATAAGGCTCTACAGTCACAGTCCAAAAGGGTGATAAGGGCTTCAACTTACTAATTCCTTGGCTCAGAGCCGCATTGTATTGCCAGAAGAATTTTAGTGAGTTTGAAAAGAAAAGGAGGGGCAGGACTTTGGGACTGCTGTGAATTTATGTGGGGGATGAGGGAGAGGTAGAAATCAGAAGTAACTGAACCTGAGTAACTTCAATAATGATAGTAGCATTAGAAAAGAAAAAGAAAGAAAGAAAGAAAGAAAAGGAGAAAGAAATCAGAGGTGGAAGCCAGATTTAGAGGGGAGATGAGTTTTTAAAAAATTTTTAAAAGATTTTTATTTATTTATCTGACAGAGAGAGAGAGGGAGAGAGAGAGAGCACAAGCAGGGGGAAGGGCAGAGGCAGAGGGAGATTCAGGCTCCCCAAAGAGCAAGGAGCCCGATGTGGGGCTCAATCCCAGGACCCTGGGATCATGACCTGAGCCAAAGGCAGACACTTAACCGACTGAGCCGCCCAGGCGCCCGATGAGTTTGTTTTTAGACATACTGAATTTAGGGTAACTTGAGTAACCAAGTGGACACATCTAGCAAGCTGTGAGATACACCCTACCCCCATTCAATTCAATGCAACAAATATTTACTGAACATCTACCGTATGCCAGTCACTATGTTGAAGAGACAGTCAAAGAAGACACAAGCCCTGGCCTCCCGAACTCATGTTTGAGTGGGGAAGACAGACTAATAGATTCCTCTGGTATAAGGTAGTAAATGGTATAATTGAAATATATATAGAATGCTATGGGGATATAAATAGGGGACGAATTGCATCCAAGCAGGTGAGAAAAAGTTACAGGAGTGACGAGTTTTGAGCAAGGCCTGGAAAGATACAGTAGAAGTTTGTTCAGTGAACAAATAGGGAAATGGCTTTCCAAGTGAAAGAAGTCTCGAGCGAAGGCACAGGGCACTGAAGTGGGGCATTCCAGTAATCTGAAATGACTAAAGAGAGTGGGATGACAGAATAAAGATGGATGGAGCAAAGGAGGTGACAGGGGTCAGAAACTGGGCAGGAATTGTTACACTAGCCTGGGGAGGCAATCTAGTGCAACGGTTAGTGGTGTGGACTATAGTGTCAGACTCCCTGGATCCAAATCCCATCTCTGCCACTTACTAGGTGTGTGACCTTGAGTGAGTCCCTGAGTCTCTCTGTGCTCAGTTTTCCCATCTGTAAAATGGGACTGATGGTACCTGCCTCATAGGATTGCTCTGATGGTTGAGAGAGCTAGTATATGTAAACTGATTGGGGTCATGCCTGGCATTTAGTGAATGTTATGTAAAGGTTAGCCCAAGGGCTAAATGGCAAGAAACAGAGCACTACACCATTTTGTACTACTCCCTCAGCAGCTTCAAAAGGAAACTATAAGTGGGAACTAAGTCTCCAGATACTCTAAGCACACATCCGGGGAGCACTCGATGAATCTCCTCTTCTCACACGAGCTGGAGTTTCTCGAGAGGGTGAGTTTCTCTGCCTTGGAAATGTAGATCCGATTTAAGGAAAGGGTGAGGAGCCTGAGGGGGAAAATAATCCGAATGGCCAGAGTGGGACTGTTGGTTCACAATACATGGGAACTCTCATTATGGCATTCCCTCCGGCAAGCGGAAATAAAACAAAATCAGGCGGTGATACCGCAAGCATATTTTATTTCAGTTAAGTAAGAAACAGAAAATTGGCCAGCAGGGACCTTAGAGGATGAGCGAACAGGCAGCAGGGTCCAGTGATAGTATTTTGCTGGGCTTGAAGTATGTAAAGGGATCCTCTGAAGGGGACCAGCAATTGGAAATGCAGCCCTACTTTGCTAATGAAGCATATCTCGCCCCCGGAGTTTGGATGCTCTCAAGTAACCCATTGTCTGTTCCTCAGCTTTCTAGAGCTCTACTTGAGTGCTCCTTGAATAGACTCTTGGAATGATTGTACTTCCCTGTGTGACTGCTCTGTGTGCTGCTCAGATGGAACAGAACCTCGTCCGCCCACCCAGCCAGCCCAGGGGTTTCACTTGAGAGAACTCGGTTTGAATTCTGGTTTTACCACTTAATAGCTGTGTGATCTTGAGCAGGTCACTAAAATTGTCTGAGCTTCAGTTTCTCCATCTTGAAAAGGGAACAGAAATGGCTCCTCTGTTATGATAATTACAGGAAAGAATTTGTCTATAAAGCACTTGGAACATTAAGTCCTTAAGAGATGTAAGTTCATCTCCCTTCCTTTGCCTTTACACTTACGCCACCCAAAGACCCCTGCTCTCATTTTAGCCCTTCTGAGGGCTTCCTCCCATCTAATGTCAAGAGTAGTAGAGATGGAAAGAAGGAGAAATCAGTATATGGAAAGACAATGAAAAATGGTGGCTCTTTTTTTCAACCCCCCCCCCACTCTGACTTTGCAGTAGAGATATTTTGATGTAGTCAGTATTCCAAAATAGGAAAGATATTCAGATGCTGGATGGCCGAAGATGAGAAATATCTACTGAGACATCATGAAAACTCTATGAAAATATATCTACACATGAGTGTATTTACTGTGAAGTCACAGCTGTGCATTCGTATGTTTTAGGATGAGAAGGGGACAAGGAAAGTCAAAAACATTTTTTTTTAGGATGGTAGAAATAGATTGTTGTAATGTTATCTTAATATTGGTGTGCCTGTGGAGAGGGCTCCTCTCTTCCTGACATACTTATATCTCCTTACCCTCTTTTCTTTTTTTAAAAAAGATTTTATTTATTTATTTGACAGAGAGAGACACAGCGAGAGCAGGAACACAGCAGGGGGAGTGGGAGAGGGAGAAGCAGGCTTCCTGCGGAGCAGGGAGCCTGATGCGGGGCTCGATCCCAGGACCCTGGGAGCCGAAGGCAGATGCTTAATGACTGAGCCACCCAAGCGTCCCTCTTTACCCTCTTTTCAAAAGAGCAGCAGGAGGAAAGGGTGCTGGAGTAAAGGGAATTGTACAGTGGGAATAACATGCCCCCATCTCATCTGTCCTTCTGCCCAGCCTTCCATTAATCATCATGATCTACCAGAGGCCGGAGAGCTTCCTGTCTGTGGTGCTTCAATGCCTTTGCATCATTAATATCATCATCTCTACCCTTCTTCTAGGAGAGGATCTAATGAGGGAGGTATGGAAGAAGTTCTGCATGCTTAGCTGTCAATCCGAACCTTTGAGAGCCAGCAGGGGAAAAAAGCAGCAATCACTGTGTAATATTCTGGACTTTCTTGGCAGGTGAATACTGCTATGCATGAGGCAAAACTCATGGAAGAATGTGACGAGTTGGTAGAGATCATCCAGCAGAGGAAACAAATGATCGCTGTCAAAATCAAAGAGACAAAGGTAAAGCATGGAGCTTCAGTGAGGCCAAGGCAGAGTTGACTTTACAAATGTCAGAGTTTCATCCTGATGATTCCAGTTTGAACTTGGATCGTGAAAGTAAGAAGAAATGGGGTTGGAGGGAGGGAGGCAAAGAAGAAGCGATGTTTGGCCTAGTGCTATAAACCCGGTAAAAATGATGAGAGTTCTGGGGTATTGGAAATATTCTATACCTTGACCTAGTTGACGGTTACATGGGTGTGTATATATGCAAAAAAAAAAAAAAAAGTCATTGAGTTGTCCATTTCAGACGTGGGTGCTTTACTGTATGTATGTTATAAGTCAATCCAAAAAGAAAAAAAAAAGTGATGGTAGAAATGTGGGCAGAATTATGGAAGGACCATGCATGCTATTATAAGGACTTTGGGCTTAATCAAAAAGGCATTGGGAAACCATTCTTGTTTCTTAGGAAGGGAGAGACTGATATGGCAGAAGTATGCAGGGTGGATCCAAATAGGATGATACTGAAGTCGGGGAAGCAATCTCAGAGGCTTATGGAATGATTCTTGATAGGAGTTGATGAAGACTTAAACCAGGGAAATGCCAGCACAAATGGAAGGGAAGGTTAGAACAGGCATTACTAGAAAGGAAATGATGGGAATCATCGGCTGATCTGCTGTAAAAGATGAAGGGGAAAGAGAAGACTTCCAGGTTTTTAGCCTGGGAACTGAAGAAGCATGGTCAAGGTCGGGTGTGAGCCTCCATGCATCTGTAGGCTTATTGGTCTGCCGGTCAGTGTAGTGATTATAAGCTAATGCTGGGTATACAACGTGAGGAGTTATGAGAGTCTGGAGTGATGATCAATACTTTGTGCCAAGCTGGGTGGTGCCAGCTAACGTAGGAATTGAAATTACTGAGAATACAGATCTGTGAACGCACAGGTGTGCATAAGGATCTGTAGAGAAATACATACATCGGAATGTAGATCCTCATAAAGAACAAGGAGGTACTTTTTATTAAACACGGTTGTGAAAATATATCGACCGTAAAATGTATTGATGTTGATCCCTGGGTGGCAGGGTTTCCTTTTATACTTTTTGTTTTCTAAATACTCTATAGTGAGCATGCACTGTTGTTCTAATCGGAAAAATTAAGGTTATCAATAAAAAAGAGGAGGTAGATGATCGAGAGTATATGACCGGGTGTGTCACAGCCTAAGTAAGTGGCCTGTAGGTGGGAAGAGGGGCTGGCAAGACATAGACCGGGGGGTGAGAAGCTGAGTGGTTTGCACAGGGGCCATGGGATATTAATAGGCCTTACTTTTAGAATCACTGCAGTAGATCGCCTTCGTGTTGTTGTATCATTTTTAATTAAGCCCTGCATATTGAAGCTCATTTTTCTTCTGCTCATTCCTTTAAGGTTATGAAACTGAGAAAGTTGGCACAACAGGTGGCTAATTGCCGCCAGTGTCTTGAGCGGTCAACGGTCCTCATCAACCAGGCTGAACATATCCTGAAAGAAAATGACCAGGCCCGGTTTCTCCAGTCTGCAAAAAATATTGCCGAGAGGTGAGCTCCTTCTGTTCTTTTCTCCAGGCCCGCCCTTAGGAAAAGGGTGCAGCCGGGAGTCACTTGATTCTGTTGGGGCATGTATGCGGCAGCTGCCAGATCGTTTTACTAAAGCCTCGGTGGTACGTTTGCCCTGTGCATTTCTGGCACCTTTCTCTCTGGGTAGCTTTACCACTTCCCCCAGTGCACAGCCAACCACGTACCTGGCTCTGCCCTAGCTCTCCGCTGCCCACTCAGTGCTGCAATTTTCTTCTCTTGTTGTTTTTTCTTTTTTTTTTTTTTTTAAAAGATTTTATCTATTTATTTGTCAGAGAGAGAGAGAGAGAGCACAAGCAGGGCGAGTGGCAGGCAGAGGGGGAAGCAGGCTCCCTGCTGAGCAGGGAGCCCAATGCAGGGCTCGATCCCAGGACTCCAGGATCACGACCTGAGCCGAAGGCAGCCGCCCAACCGACTGAGCCACCCAGGCGCCCCAATGTGCTGGAGCTTTCTATGTTGGTGTTAGCATAGGGGCAGAGAGACTTTTGGCCACAGAGATAGGTTTGTCTTTGTGCAGTTTTTATTGCTTTCATTTAGTTATCTCTCACACAGATGGATAGAGCAGTAATTCGTAGGCTTTTATTTAATCAGTCACCCCTTGAAAATGTGATGAATGTCCTGAGCCCTCTTCCTGAGGGGAGAATGCATATTAGATATATACAGGTGGAATTTTGCCTACGATCCCAGAGGACTCGTGGATCTTTCGAAGGCCATCTATACACCATGTGCAAAGAATCTGAAGTCTAAAGTGGAACATTGCTCAGTAGAGTCACGGGGCTCGAGAGACTCATTAGGCAAATTTGACCTCCTTCTATCTCTCATTTACCGAAGGCTTTGGCTCCATGTTCACAGTATTCCTTCCTTTTGCTTCTGCCATCATTCCGGGTGACACTGGCAGCATCCACATGGCTAACCCCATCTAATACGCTAGCCATCCATTCTCCTGGCTCCTTGCCATTCCCTCCTCCAGTGACCCTCACCTCTGCTCCCCTTCATCTACCCACTTCCGCGGCTCCCATGCTGAACCTCGCCGTCACTCAGAATTATGCTGAAATCATAAATTAAACACCCCATGTTCTAGCTACAACCTCTGTATTTACAGTTGATTGCTTTTCTTCCAAAGCTTCTAGTCTTCAACTTCATCGGGACCCCTAAGACCCAACTCCTACCTACCAGCTACCTACTGTCTTTACTTCTTTCTTTGGCCTCTTGAGGGTCTGTGATTTCTCACTTCAGCTGCTCACTCTCGTTGCAATATACCCACTTTCCTGGTCCCACTGTCTTTTTATCACACCAACCATCCTGATCGAACCCCCAACCCTGAATCATCCCAGCTCTTCCCACCTTTTCTTTTTCTTTTTTATTTTTTTTTAAAGATTTTATTTATTTATTTGACAGAGAGAGACACAGCGAGAGAGGGAACACAAGCAGGGGGAGTGGGAGAGGGAGAAGCAGGCTTCCCATGGAGCAGGGAGCCTGATGTGGGACTCGATCCCAGGACCCTGGGATCATGACCTGAGCCGAAGGCAGACGCCTAATGATTGAGCCACCCAGGCGCCCTCTTTTTCTTTATAAAAAATATTTTATTTATTTATTTGAGAGAGACAAAGATAGAGAGAGAGCACGAGTGGGGAGCAGAGGGAGAAGCAGGATTCCTGCTGAGCAGGGAGCCTGATGTGGGACTCGATCCCAGGACCCCGGGATCATGACCTGAGCCGAAGGCAGACGCCTAATGATTGAGCCACCCAGGCGCCCTCTTTTTCTTTATAAAAAATATTTTATTTATTTATTTGAGAGAGACAAAGATAGAGAGAGAGCACGAGTGGGGAGCAGAGGGAGAAGCAGGATTCCTGCTGAGCAGGGAGCCTGATGTGGGACTCGATCCTAGGACCCCGGGATCATGACCTGAGCCGGAGGCAGACGCTTAACCAACTGAGCCACCCAGGCGCCCTGCTTCCCACCTTTTCCATGTCTGTATTTGAGTTGCAGAACCCAGCTAGAGAAAACCACATAACCAAAGAGGTTGGTACTACTGCACCACACATTTATGGCTTCTAATCTCACCGGGGCCCCCATATCCTTCTGTGTCGCTTTGGTCAGCTTTCTTTTTGCTTTGTCTCCCTAATGGCTATTTCAGATTTTCTGTGTTCAACTCAAAAATTCCAACCCTGCCACTTTCCCGCTCATGCCCAGCAAATGACTTCACGTCCTATTTTAGAGAGAGAGAAAAAGTGGTAGGTATGAAAGGACAAAGTTCTCAGCTTCTCAAACCGAAATGCTGGGCATACCTACATCCACATCTGTGACTTCTGCCTCCACCCCCCTTTTTTAAGTAAACTCCATGCCCAGTGTGGAGCCCAAGGCGGGGCTTGAACTCACAATCCTGAGATCAAGACCTGAGCTGAGATCAAGAGTTAGATCAAGCTTAACCGACTGAGCCACGCAGGCGCCCCTCCCTTTTGATTATAGTAGAGAGATGTCCCTTCATTTGTGTTATGGCCACATGCTTCCTTTTTTCCCATAGCTTCAGTTTCTCCCTTTCTCTAGTTGACTTCACATGCACTTTTAAACCCACTCACGTCTCTCCTATCTAAAAAATATAATATTAATTAATTAATTAATCTTCTCCTCACCACTGATTTCTCTTCTCCAATAAGAATAATATTGAGCATTTACTCTGTGTTGAGCATTATTCTAAGCCCTTGTAAGTGTTAACTCATTTAATCCTCACAAGAACCTCATGAGTTAGAGGCTATTATTATCCCCATTTTATAAGAGAATGAGAGAATGAGGCTCAGAGAGGTTATGTGATTTGCCTAAGATCACCCAACTAGTAAGGAATAGAGGCAGGATTCAAATCGAGGGAGTCTACACTTTTCCAACAAAGTCAAGCAATTTCCACTCTGTTAGGTATTTCTTTTGACATGACCTTTACATTTCTAAATGCATCCTTATATTGCTATGTTCCCCCCAATTTTAGACATTAACAATTGACTTCTGCAAACCTGGAAATTTGTCAGCCATCATTTACTCAAATTTTAAAAAGATTTTATTTCTTTATCTGAGAGAGAGAGAGAAAGAGAGAGAGCAGGTGGAGGGGCGGAGGGAGGGAGAGAATCTCAAGCAGACTTCTCACGAGCATGGAGCCTGATGTGGGGCTTGATCTCATGACCCTGAGATCCTGATCTGAGCCGAAACCAAGAGCTGGATGCTTAACCGACTGAGCCACCCAGGTGTTCCCCTCAAGTATTCTTCATGCTATCCCCTTCCTTTCTTATATGGACTCCAATTACATGTATGTTAGGCTGCTTGAAGTTTGTCTCAGCTCACTGATGCTCTGTTCATATTTTAGCCATTTTTTCTCTGTGCTTCATTTTGATAGTTTCTCTTTTTTTAAGATTTTATTTATTTAGTTGAGAGAGAGAGGGAGAGAGAGAGAGAGGCACAAGTGGGGGGAGGGGCAGAGGGAGAAACAGACTCCCTGCTGAGCAGGGAGCCCGATGCGGAGCTCGATCCCGGGACTCAGAAATCAGGATCTGAGCCGAAGGCAGATGCTTAACCTACTGAATCACTCATGTGCCCCTCATTTTGATAGTTTCTAATATGTCTTGGCATTCACTAACCTTTTCTTCTGTAATGCCTAATCTGCCATTAATCTCTCCAGTGTATTTTTCATCTCAGACATTGTAGTTTTCATCTCTAGAAGTTCAGTTTGGGTCTTTCAATAACATCCATATCTCCACTTAACATATTTAGCTTTTCCTCTAGCTTTTGAATATATGGCATGCAACACTAATTCAAAAAGATGTATGCACCCCTGTGTTTATTGCATTATTTACAATAGCCAAGCAACTTACATGTCCATTGATGTATGAATAGATAAAGAAGATGTAATACACACACACACACACACACATACACACAGGACTATTACACAGCCATAAAAAAGGATGTGATCTTGCCATTTGCAACAACATGGATGGACCATGCTAAGTGAAATAAGTCAGACTGAGAAAGACAAATGCCATATGATTTCACTCATGTGGAATCTAAAACAAAACAAAACAAAAACAAAACAAATGAATAAACAAACCAAAAGCAAAATCAGACTTATAAATATGGAGAACAAACTGACAGTTGCCAAAGGCAAGCGGGTAGGATATGGGCAAAATGGGTGAAGGGTAGAGGGGGATACAGGCTTCCAGTTATGGAATGAGTAAGTCACGGGAATAAAAGACACCATATAGGGAATATAGTCAATGCCATTGTAATAGCATTGTATGGTGACAGATGGGAGCTACACTTGTGGTGAGCACAGCATAACGTATAGACTTGTCAAAACACTGTGTTGTATACCTCAAACTAATGTAACATTGTGTGTCAACTATACTCAAAAGAAAATTAAAATCAAAATGTAGACAGAGCATGGAATACAGTTATCATAACTGTCATAATGTCTAATTCTAACATCCATGTCAGTTCTGGGTCAGTTTCAATTGATTGCTTTTTCTCCTCATTATGGGTTATATTTTCTTCTTTCTTTGCCTATCTGATCTTTTTTTTTTTGGATGTTAGACATAATGAAATTTATTTTACTGGGTGCTGTATATTTTTCTATTTCTATAAATATTCTTAAGCTTTGTTCTAGGACACAGTTAAGTTACTTGAAAATAGCTTGATCCTTTTGGGTCTTGTTTTTAAGATTTGTTAAGTGGAATCAGAGCAGTGTTTAGTCTGAAGCACATTTGTCCACACTAGTGAGGCAAGACGTTTCTGAGTACTCTCCTGAGTGCTCCATGCATCATGAGATTTTCCAGTCTGTCTCTTGGGAACAGACACTCTTCCTGATCCTTTGTGAGCACCAGGAATTGTTCCTTTTCATCCTTTTTAAAAAAAATTTTTAAATTTATTCATTTGAGAGAGAGCGAGAGCACGAGCAAGGGGGAAGGTCAGAGGGAAAGGGA